ACATTGCATTTAGAAGCCACTGGAGTTTACATTTTTAGAAGTTTCAAGAAATCAACGGGCAGTTTGTAAGCATGTTGCATGAATTTCCAAATAACAAGTTTTTAACTAATATTTATTTTAAGTTGAAAACGTCTGGTTTTCAATGAGGTAGGAAGTACTTTTTCGGATTTGTACATTTTGCCATCTGTTTATACTCAGTTTGCCAAAGTTTGCCACATCACAATGAACTTAGATACGCTCCGGAATTACGTTTGAACTTAATCGCTCAGCAAAGTTGATCATTCCAGAAACCATGGATCGGTTTTACTCCTGGTTTACTCTAGTGGCGCAGAGGTCTGTGAAGCAGAGTATCGAAAAACAGCCGAATGAAGCATAATTGGAGCTGTGTCTATCCACTGTATGGAAAATTTTGTGGAAGGATCTTAAGTTGCGGGTTTCCAAAATGCAACACGTGAAAGAGTTGAAGTCGAACAACGAGTGTTCAAAACGAGCTCACTTTTGGTTGAATGAAATCGTTAACAAACAAAATTTCCRCATATGGAGCGATAATGATCCATAACCAATTGTTTAGACACCGTTAGATCCTTAAAAATTCACTGTTTAATGTGTTCTWTGGGCAGAGGGATAGGATTTTTATTGTAGTAAATTTGCACGGTTCTGTAAAGAAGCTTATCTACTCGGATTAGCCCGAGACGATTAATACCTTGGGAGAGGATATAAGGCGCGTTATTGCTGATTGCTGATAGCGCAATTGATGCAAATGGAATTTATTCAAGCCAGCCACGGCACTCWCTTGTAATTTTAAAAAATTATGGCAAACCGTGATCTGTATAATGAAGCTAATTTCTTGGCCAGAATGTAAAATTACATTGAAAACCATACCTATATCTACAAAAAGCCGAGAAGTAAAAAAATAAAACTTTTGTGCTTGTAATAGAAAACAAGTGTACATGTTTGAATTAAGGTTAATGGAAAGATCCAACAAATACTGCATTAAATATTGCTTAGCGGGACTTATAATTAATTCATCACAAGWAAGTATTACTAAACTTATCTCATATTAAATATAAAATTGTAAATAAAAACAATCCATAAATTATCAGATGATAATTATAATTATTATTCATTACTTAATTTAACTGTTTTTCTTGTTTTATTTAATGTTATACTATACCCACGTGCAAGGATATGAATATAAGATATTATTGCATATACTTTTTGTAGAAATAACATACAAACCTGTGTCAGTCTACGCTTGAATATTTTGTTTGCTGTTGTATTTATTGATCTCGTCATTGACAAAATACTAAAGATTTCGGTTTTTTGTGCGTTCCTTTGTAATTCAAGTTTTTGGTGCCTTTATCAATATAAAAAGTTGTTTGTTAACGTAAAGCCTATACCTTTCACGAATTAAAAAAATTACTTGTTGTTGTGATTCAAATAAGCATTTGTCTAAAAGTGTGAAAAAAATTATATAAAGTGGAAAATTAAAATTATTCTTAAAGTTACAGGCATTTTCATGTCGTAGCATCCAGTCRATTACCATGATATTAGCATGAGTACTTTCTAAATAATAGCTATCTATAGCATGACAGATCTTCAGGTGTTGGCACAACTTTATTATTCGATCAAATAGCGAATGGATTACAATCAAATTTCTATCTTAT